CCATCTCCATGTTTCACGGTCTGCACTGTGCAGTCACTGTTGTAGTCGTGGCCAGGTCCACACGCAAACATGCTGGATCCCATCTGATCCAAACAAATTTATTTTGGTTTCATCTGACCAAAGAATGTGCAGCCAATATTCATCAGGCCTCTTTTCATGTTCTTTGGCAAAGTTTCATCTTGCAGTTTTTGTCACGGTTGGTGGAAACAGCACAGGCAGACAGGACCCAAACACAGACACACAGGCAGGTTCAGTGAAGTTGCTTTAAATGGATGAGAAGTGTTACAGGCAGAGGGCTTGACAAGAAGGCAGCCAGGTACCAGCAACAGGGTAGTACATGGATGCAGCACATACACTGGGAACCAGACGGTGGCATAAACAGACGATCTGACAAGGAACTGGTGGCAATCTCAGGTTTAAATACTGACTGGGGTGATGAGGAAACAGAGAACAGGTGTGTGAGTGGGCAGGGAAGCTCAGGTGATTGGGAATAGAAAACAGGTGAGCAGGTGGATATGGAGGCAGAAAGAAAGTCCAGGGCCAACTGGTGGGCAGATGGAGTATGTCAAATGACAGAGGCCATATAAACAGGGCAGAGACAGGAATAATAAGAGCAGGGATAATAAGTCCAGGGGAGCGAACAAGAGACCTAAGAGATGAATCGTGACAGTTTTGTGCTGCTTAGTGAGCAATGGGTATCCTCTTGGATGTCATCCGTAGAGGTTGACTTCATGCAGTGTCCTTCAAATTGTCTGTCACTGAAATAGCAATTTGCACAGATTCCTTTGTGCCAAATCAGAAGCACTTGCCGTCTGCTTTTCAATGCAAGGTTGCGTAAAAATCATGGCATCATTTTTCGAGGACATCCACTGTCCTTCTGCTATTGGTAGTATGTTTCTTACTGTAACTCTACTGCTGCAACTGTGGCTTATCTTCAGCGGCCTACTGATGCTATGATACCCTCTCTCATCTTTACAAAGTATCACAACCTGGTTTCATACTTGTTCGGGTAATTCCTTAGAAAGCTGTGGTGTTCACAGTTAATTTCATAATTCCTAAAATCAAAGGTGTTCTCACTTTTGCTGCAGTGATCACAAATGTGCTCTTGTGACCACTCTGTATTTTTGTTGCTTTCACATCGCACTTTGTGGCCTCTATTTCAGTGAAGTCTATCAAACCTTTTTGTTTTTAAATTATGCATAAGACCAAATACCCTACACTTCAATATAAAAATAATACATTATCTGCTGTACGATGACACAGTTTTGAATCATTTAACATTTTAATGATATTGCACCGGGGTGTACTCAGTTTTGTTGTCTATTGCATGTAAAGGTGTTTCTAGTATTTTTTCTAATCCCATGTATGTTTATTGGGGTGGAAAGAAGCATCTTCTTCAATAGATTCAATTGCATTTATACAACAGCTTACATCTTTGTACATATATCACGCTAATGTTGCTTTATCAGCACACAGTATACAATACCTAATCAAAACTCGCAACTCATTATATCATCAAAATATGTAGTAGTGTATTTCTACACCATGCAGTGCAGTCACATACTTTGGATATGTTGGATACTTTAAAGTGTTAGTTAACATGAATTTTTAAGTGAAAATTAATTCCTCTGCACCCCAGTGACTGTGGTGGTAGAACGGCGCTTCTGTGTTATTCATTCCCCTCTCTTCATCTCCTCTTCTCTGTTTTCCCCAAAGACCCGGTGGCATGATAATTTCTCATTTGATTTAGTTTTGCCTGGCAGAAGGGAGCTAAGCTCACTGATAAGATCTCCTTAAGAACCAGACAAGTTGTCAGTAATGAAGGGAATTGCTTTGATCCGTCGACAAATAGGTCATTTAGACAGTGTCTGGTTTCTGATGCCACATGATACAGTCATGACTTTCTCTCTCTCTCTCTCTCTCTCTCTCTCCCTCTCCCTCTCTCTCTGTCTCTCTCTCTATCTCTCTCTCACTATCAATTTCTTTTGGCTGAGTGCTTCTCGTCCACTCTCTCTCCCCTACAAATTCACACACACACACATTATCAAGACAAGAGAGGAGAAATCAGAGAGGAAGCGAAAGAAAAAGACAAAGGAAGAAAAAACTGAAAAACAGTTTTTGATTATTATTGAAAATCCTTTATTATGTATTACCCAATGGAGGCATTTTATATGTGTGTTATTGTGTGTCCCATGTGAAGTGAAAGATAGTGGTATAACAAGAAAGAGAGAGTTTCCTCTTCATTAAAGGAAATCAAAAGTCCTGATACAGTCATGAGAAGCTCTTAATGTTCATCTCATGCTGAGCTTTTTTCAACACATTCACTGCCTTTCTGAAGCTAAAGTGACAAAATGACAGTGAAAGCTGCTTACTGTTGGAATGACATCCTGCCTGTCACAATATTCTGTGATAAAAGGAGGAGCCTGATAACATGCAACAACAGCGAGCTGACTCATTTCCCTGACAGCCATTGTTGGATCCCTTAATGCATAGCCATGTATATATGCCTGTGATTTATTACATGCATTATTAATCATGAGCCAGACGTCATTGCAGCGGCAGTTTGTCATCACATTGCTCGTTGTCGACTCTGAACTGTCCAAACAAGCTTAGTGGGAGAATTAGAGGTGAAAAAATTTTGAAGTATAATCCTTTTTTTAAAATCATTAATTGGCATAAACAAAATCTTTCAACACCATATAAAGCACAGTTGTACACGCTTGAATGTGCATATGTGTGCACATGCAGCCATGCACAAATATTTGGTACAAACAGATGAGGATAAGGATTCTGGCGCCGTCCCTCAACAGTTTTCAAAACGTCTACGTGAACGTTGTGGGAGGGAGAGCTAATTGGCTGGAATGACTGTGGAAACATGCAGCTGAATCTCTTTTCCCCCCCAAGCAGGACGGCTTGGAAGCGGGTAGGAAATCAGGGGGGCGGGGAAAACCGAAATGGAATTATGGAGAGCTATCACTTCCTAACTGGTGAGGATTTATACACCACTGCCAAGGCCAACGGATTGAAGTAATTTCATTTTTCATGCATGGCTTCTGTCCCCACGGAGACCTGAAGCAAAGAAAGAGAGAGAAAAAGAGAGAGAAGGAGTACAGCGGAGGGGAGAGATGAGAGGAAAGGGGCGGAGTGGAGATGAGAGAGAAGGAGACGGAAAGGAGGAGGGAGGGCAGAGGAAGGGAGAGACAAGGGGGGTGGGGGAGTGAATGAGAGGGGGAGACAGTTTGGCAGGCGGCTGTGTAGTAATTGCTTGTATTTTCTAATGCGACAGGAGAGGTAGATGGAGTCAGCGCGCTGTGGTCTGGTTACTTTGCCTATACAGGAGGGTAATGGTGCTATGTTGAGAGTTCAACTGAGCTGCTAGCTGGATATTTGTTAGTTTGTTGGTGTTTAACGGGCAGAGTTTCTTTGAAGTAATAGCAGTCGATGCCTGCAGCTCGTTAATTATCATAGCTGTCAGCAGTAATTTGCTGAGATATGTGCACAGCATTCTGACATTCTCCTCCCGCTATTCCCCAAAGAAAACACATATACAGACATGCACAAATAGCATTAGTGGGCTGTTGTGACAGCTCCTCTTGCATCCTTACAGCTAAGGTGTCTGTAACTGATTGCTTTTGTTTGATTAGAAAGACACACCTTGACTCTATCTCTCTAAAAGAGAGCTGATGATAATGCTGATGCTGATGAAGAGCAAGAGATAGAAAATGGTGATAACAGCACTGTCAGTGATGGTGACAGGTTTTTATTCCACCAGTAGGAAGAGTCAGGATGACACCTGTCTAATACGGTATGTCCTTCCCTTGTCCTTGTTAGTTGCTCCAGCTATTTTCTCAGCTGGGCAGAATTCCTGGTGTGTCAAAAGTGTGGCTAAATTGGTTCCTCGAGTGGTGAAAGATGGAGACAACTTTGGACAGTCTTACTCTTCTGGTGCACTCAGGATCTCCACTGAAATAGTCATTGATTGAAGAAAAAAGGTTGGCCATGGCTGTGTGTGTGTGTGTATGATTGTATGATTGAGTCATTTTCACCCACTGATGTTCATGGGTTGTCATGTGGTTAATGGACAGAGATGGTATGCTTGAAGGTTTGGACTTTATTTGGGCACTAAATTGAAAGATTCCTCCAGATGAGTCATAATTACACAGCACTTCAGTTCAAATCGCAGGCCTAGCTCTGCACTTAATGCACCTATTAGCTATATATGTGGCCAGGAAAGCTGAACCAAAATGTAGGCCTAATTTTTTTTGAAAACTTTCTGCTTCCCTTCTCCCACAGCTATTGAATAATTCTTTTCTCCTGTGCAGCCTTGCCCATTTTTACCCCCTCAAAATGTGTTTATTGTTATGTTGCCTGTTGTTGCTTCCCTAATTACACACCAATTACAACCTCATATTTTCACCTACCTATCTAATTGTCATTTTTGTTCACAACCTGTCTGTATTTCCAAAATGGCTCCTAGCTGACTGTCAAAGTTAACAGTAAATATATGTTGATTTCATTTCGCCCTCCCTGAAATATTGAATTTAAATTTCTCTTTTGAAGCAGTCCAATTCTGCCAAACAGAATGCATAGCTTTCCCTGCGGCAGCACTAATGGAATCTTTGAGTATGTGGTAGCTAGAAATGCCAAACTGTGATGAATGTGTGTGTGTGTGTGCAAGAGTGGGTGCCCTGGCTTCGTGTGTTTGTGTGCCTGCGCATGTTTCCAGTGAATATGTAATATCAGGTTTCTTAGACTGTGTGAGGACAAAATATTAAACTCAAGGGTTGTATATCACAAACTGGTCCTTGAATAATAAACACCTCACAGTACATGTTGCACCAGCAGGTGTAGATTGGCCATGAGATCTGAGAGTTTAGTTTCTTGGGAAGAGACTGAAACCTAATGAGATAGAAAAGTTTATTGCTCAGTGAAACACGTTATGAGAGTTTAATATTTATTGGATTGATTTAGTGTTTCTCTCTTTGTTTTTTGTGATGCAGATTCGTTCAGACCAGGACCAGGACATCTCGATCCGATATAGCATCACAGGGGTTGGAGCAGATCAACCACCCAATGAGGTCTTCAATATTGACCCCGTGCTCGGGAAGATGTTCGTCACCAAACCTCTCGATCGAGAACATCGCTCTTCTTACCATGTGAGTGTCTCTCTCTCCCTCATTCACACATACATCCGCGCACAACAGCCATGACCTTTGAGATGAAACCCATTATTATATGGACATTTAACCCTTTGACACATATGTCTCTTTGCCACCTCAACAGAAAGGGGTCTAAAGCAGAACCAGTGTGGTTCTGCATAATAAAAATGCCATCTCTGATATATATTTGCTCAACATAACAAATTATGGAGAAAAAAAATAAAAAATCAGGTTTAGAAACTATTTAATTAAATCCATTCAATAAACATTACATAACAATATTGCACTACATTGTTACATTAAGCAAAAACATTTCCTGGAAGAGTTGTGTGTATGTATTTGCATTCTTGTACTTTGATCACTGTGAGAAACAATCACATTTTTACTTCACAGTGATGTTAGAAATGAATGATGGAATTTCCAATTTGCACCTTTTCACTCTTACGTGTGGAAGCGCTGTGTGCAAAGCATCTGGCTGAAATGAAGTACGAGTCAGAGAATGTGGTAATTACTTATTTTGTGATTCATCACATTCAGAGCCAGTTTTGCTAACTTGTTCTTTTGTTGAGGAATGGAAGAAAACAATTTTCACTTCATGTTTACTTTATCCTTTTATGCTGTAAAAAATAAGTTATATTGAATAAATGTTTCTTTCTAAGTGTAATTAAATATTTTGTGTGTGTCAAGGTTAAAATTGTTTAATTATCACTTTCAGAACTAAAAATCATGAGCTCAGGTGACAAAATGTCAGATGGATTGTTCACCTAACTCATCAGTTTAAGTTGTTTCAAAACATTATGAACTTATTTGCATACACTTCCCAGCATGCACTGCATTAAGGTTAAAAACTCTTCTATTTGGGGCAGTTTCATGATGGAGGTGTCATGATGGACTGCTGTGTGATCAAAAGAAAAACAGTGCAAACCATGAGGTCTGTACTTCAGGCACCCCTGCACCTTCTTCTTGTGTACGGCACTAGAGTCATAGTGGTCACATTGAGGAACAGTGTTCTTGAGCTGATTGTGACTGCTAGCAGTACAGCAGACCCTTTCACGACGGATAAAGATAAGGCTTGCCGCAATAAATTATTTAAAACAAAGAATCCATGCTCATTTGTAAACTGAAAACTCCAAACAGATACAGCATACAGATCTATTTTAACTCAAGCACAAAATCTGAGTTGTGATTATGTGAAATAATACATAACAGAGGTAAAAAATCATAGTTGAAGAAAGTCAAAACCTAAACTTAAGAAATGAAGTTAACTCATCTTTCTGACTTGGCAAGTCAAGAATATTTCACCTCTTCTCCCTGAAAAGCTCTTTTGTTTGCTCTGGCCATGTTTAGGATCATTGTCCTGCTGAATGATGAAGTTTCAATGTGTTTGGTTGAATCTGAGCACAGAATGTTCCTGTATACCTGTATACCTGATGAGGGATACCTCTGTATACCTCATCAATAAATACCAGTGTTCCACCTCCATTGGTAGCCATACATTTCCCAAGCCATAACAGCACAACCACCATGTTTGACAGATGAGGGGGTTACTTTGGGTCATTTTTTTCTCCACACTTCCCTCTTGCTGTCATTTTGACAGAAGTTCATTTTTGTTTCATCAGTCCATAGAACTTTCTTCCAGAAATGTACTGATTTCTTTTTGTATGTTTGCAACCTGACCTCTCTGTTATTTAGGCTTACTGTGGGGTTTGCATCTTGTGGTGAATCCTCTGAGGTTTTGATCTCTTGATAGTTTGCAAGGTAACACGTACGCCTACATCCTGGAGAGTATTCCTGACTTGCTGTGCAGTCTTTCCCAGTGCGTACCTGCTTTTTTAGAACATACCCAACTGTTGATTTTGGCAAACCAAACACCTTGATATCGCTCTGATAGATTTTCGCTTTCTTTAGCATCATTATTGTTTTCTTCACTAGCATGGTCACTTCTTTAGTCCCTATGTTGACAGATAATCCACCTCAATCTAAATGGCAACTCTTAATTCTCAATAAACTCTGAGCCACATGAGAGGCTTCTTTGTGCATGAACTAATGTTGAAACACCACACAGCATCCCAAAAAATTATTTAATAGCCAAGTGTCCAATTATTTTTAAACCCTTGATATTTGGGTACTATGTGTTAAAAGGGCTAGATCCCCCACAATGTTCCTTCTATATTGATGTAAACCTGCTCAAATTAAAGCTGAGACTTGCCACTTTAATGTAATATCCATTATTTCATTTCAAACAGAATATGCTGAAGCGCAGACCCTAAGGAACAAAAAATGTTTAACTCTCCAAATACTTACCATCTGGATAGGATATAATCAAAGAGAAATGATTTAGTGGAAAAATAAAACCTTGATGAGGGCAAGATGTTGGGATTTACTCTTATTGGCTTTCTCTCTGAGAGTAATCATGAATATCAATCTCATATCTTTGTGTTGAATTAATTGTTCATTTTAGGAAATGCACTCATACCCTTTCTTGCCAAGAGTTAGATGAGAAGAATTATACCGCCCACATGTCTGTACACTAAATATGAATCTATAGCCAGCAGCCGGTTAGCTTAGCAGAGCACATGGGAGGCTAAGTCCAGTGTTTTTGCCTAGTAGCAACTTAAAAATGTTCTAATTAGAACATTATATTTTGTTTGTTTAATATGTACACAAACATAAATGTTGAAACAAGTTGGGAGTCTTATTGTCACAATGGGGTTGCCAGGCAACTAACAAAGACTGCATTTACAGGAAGTCAGTGCTCCTGGCCAAGATTTAAAATCCCCAAAAATCCAGAAAAAAACACTCTAAATTAGAATAATTTAGAGGTTCTGATATGCAGATGATTTTAACCTTTGGACAGAGCTGGGCTGGCTCTTTAATTATTCTGAACTGTTTCTGTTAATGTGCCCTTGAGCAAGGCAACTGACCTCCCAACACTATTGCAGCTAGTTCAACTGGAGTCCCTTTTCCCAAAGTTTAAAAATACAACATCTCTAAAGCTGACTAATTAAAACTGTATATAGTTTGTTTAACCTGTATATAAACAGTAATGGAAAATGTTTTCGGCCCAGTGCAGTGAGCACAGCCATCTTCATGCTGTGCATGCTGTGCTGGTTTAAACCCAGTTTTTTTTTTTTTCTCCATAAATACCAACACCTGTCTTGGCTCTGCTTCATTTGAATGGAACTTCCATCTCTTTGCGCCTCTTCTTTTGCCTTTGTGCTGTGCATGCTAGTCTAAGAATGGAAATATCAAGCAGTCTGGCAAAGCACTTTTAAAATTTAAGAAAGTACTAACTTGTCATACTGCATAAGCTAGTCTTTCCATAAGTCTTTCTGCTGCCACGAAAAGAGAGCTCCAACGCTTTGGAGTAGTGAGAAACCACACTGGGTTTACCACTTAAGGTTTCTGTGTCGGGTTCCCTCTGTCTCTGTACCTGCCGCTATCCTTGTATTTATATGGGAACCTAGTCTGAGTTTCGTTCCTGCTGAGCTGGCTTTTAGCTTTTTGTGGGAGCTGAGCAGATTTATACCCACGAGAAAATCCAATCAATCAGGTGATTTGTTAAGAAAGGTGCCGGCTTTCTAAAGGCTGCTTTAGTTAAACTCAATGTTCTGTTGTAGAGGAGAAGTGTTAGTTGTTGTGGAATACAAAGTGAAGGGAGAAACCAGATGAGACAAGGTAGAGATGTACGTGTAAACATAGGAAGAAAGATGCTGTAGTACAATTAAAAGCTTCTCACGCTAGATGCTGCTGGGGACAGGTCAGCAATTAAAGTGGACTGTACAAAACATGATCTTCCTCAAGCCTATAACTTTAAAGACAGGGAAGATTGTACTCACTGAGCAACGTCATCCAGGAAAACTATAACACACACACACACACACACACACACACACACACACACACACACACACACACACACACACAAAGTTAGAATTTGACTTTGTGCTCTTTCGTTTGTTTACTTCATATTTCATGCAAGGACAGAAGAAAGTTATGGTCTGCTTCTTTTTATTTCAAATGAATGAGCACTCTGAAATTCAAAACTAGCCGTGCAACAAGATGCATTCTTATGAGGAAAAAAACCTTGGAGCGTCTGGTCTGCTGTTATCTCTATCAGGATGCTTCCTCTTTGCCAAATGCCGAGCACTGCCTGGTACGGTCTGTTTTCTCCCCTTGCCTTTCAAGATAATAACTTTAATGTGGACCCAGAATTACATTTTGCCTTCTTTAAACATGGCGGTAATCTCTGACTCCTGCTGTTATTGAATTAGGGTGTGGGTGCATGTGGGACGGAGGGATGAGGGTGGGTAGAGATAACAGGCTTGGCTCCTAGCCTGTTACAGCACACCGAGATGCGATATGCAGTGGCAGCGCACGGATATTGGGTGCAGGACAGATCAGACAATGCAGTGGAAAAAGTAAAGTCAAATTAACCTCAGTGAGACCTGAAGACACAATTTCAGTGGAAGTGCAGAGTGGAAGCAGACAGTGGAGAGGAGAGGATGGGCAGCAGTGGAGAGGATCTTCACCTCTCTGAGGAGAAGAATGCGGATGGAGAATGCTTCTTATTCCATTTCCTGCCACAACGAGCCTAGAGGCTATTTCACTTATCTGGCTCTCATGCTCTTGCAGTGGCCAGGTAGCACGTTTCCAATCAGGCATGCTCAGATGGCAAGAGTACCATTCCCTCAATTCTCCATACATAATGAGAAAACGCTCATGTTACAATCTGCTCATAGAATGTTTGTAGGTTCTTAGTCTGAAATTGATTGCTGACATTTCAACAGAATAAATATTTATCATTCTATGTTCTTATGAGCAGGATGTAGATAGCATCTGAATTCATTTTTTTTCCGTCCGTATAAACTAAACATCCCCGATGCTTTCACCTGACAGGAATATCACTGAATAAGTCATGTTCAGGGATATAAACATTCCCAGGTAAGGTGAAGTGAATCAAAACAGCTTTAAAGAGAACCGTGGAGTTCGTTCTGAGATGCCACTTCAGTCTGTTATTTTGACCTTCATGTATGGAGCAAAAAAACAAACCACAAACATTTACTTAAACTCAACATTTCCCTGATAGTTTACTTTTTTTTCTCTGCTCTCCTTTTCATTCATTCTGCTTCTGTTTTTTTCCATCCAGACCTCAATAAGAGAGAAAGCAGTGAGGACACATTTTACAGCACGTATCGATTCCAGTAATAACTCCATGTCCAAACTTTGTGAGAAATCCTAGTTGGTGATTCCATTCGTCTGAGCACAGCTGAGTTGAATTTGAAATGTGCTGAGTGTGTTTGTGGAGTCAGAGTGAAAGTGAAGAGATTTCAGGACTCTCTGTCAAACAAAATCAGACAGAATGTCTGGCCTGGGATTTCAACACCGTGATCCTGAAACAGACACCTTGACTTCACAGCAGAGCCGAACTTCCAATAAAATAAGATGTTTCTTGTTTTGGTTTCTGTTGAGATAAAAACTTCTGGGGACTAAGTGTAAAAGAGATAAGAAGTCTGGAGAAAGTGCATGACCACGAAGGCAATTTTTCTGCAAGAAAGGTATCCTGACTTTTACAGAAGACCTTACTATATTGTTCTTTAGGTTCAGGCTTTTTGAAACACTTGTACTGTATAATTCAATAATGCAGACTTTATCAGTCAGTGTGTTCATGAGCAGGGTAAAATGCCAAATTCAGAAAACAGGGCACAGGTATTTTTCTTTTTGGTTTTAGAGGTGCTTTGAAAGTATTCACCTTGAAGGATAAAAACACTTGCTCTCAGTTTGTTGGTTTTTTATTTATGTTGTTTCTCCCTTTTTTAAGTCCACTTCTGTGAGTGGAGACAGTTGGGAATACACTGAAAGGATAAGGGCGTGTACCCCACAAAGAACTGATTTTCAAACATGGGAACGACTATTTGAAAAATTGCTGTGAAAATTAAGGCAAGAACAGTAATTTTAAAAGATACAACTTGGTCATTTAAGCCTGTAATTAATGTAGACAGCAGACCAAGGGTGAACGTTTGGTTTCAAAAGTTGACGGTATACAATGAAGTCTGGGGTACTACAACTAGACAAAACAGCGAATGCTTTTCTTTTCTTTTTTTTTTACTTGCATTTGTATAAACCCAGTGAACACATTATAATTAAACTGGCATTTGTGCCTTCAGACATTTACATTTACATTTACATTTACATTTACATTTACATTTACATTTACATTTACTCTTGGCAGACGCTTTTATCCAAAGTGAGGGACAACACATTTACACTCTAACAAAATGTGTTAAATTCCTGGACTAAATTTCTAAAATGATTAAATATTACTATTTTTCTAAATTATTAAGGCACTAGCTCTGACGGTTACACTGTATCTAGTCTTACTTATAGAGAGCTTTAACCACAAATCTTAAAATTCAAATAAAATAAATACAACCTTCAAGCCTTAAAACTGAACTAGACTAGACTAAACTGCATTGACATGACTTTAGTCACCAACATCAACATTTGCCTGAGAAACTCTGTCCTTAGGGTTAATTTTTAACAGATGTTTACAGTTACTCTGGTCTCCTTAGAATAATGTATCTTACTCACCTTTCAGAGCACACTGCTCCTAAAACATATTTCTGTGAGTTCACTGTAATATTTGAGGATAACTCAAATGAGTGTATCAATGTTTTTATAACCTGGTCTCCTCTCTCACCTTGATTTTTGGCATCAGGACAGTTAAAGGACACTGTTTAGAGAGATATTAGTGAGATCCAAACTATCTGGAAACTATCCCCAGTGGAGACTAATGTAAAATGTAGAAACTGCAGACCATCCTTGTAAGATAGATAGACCCTTAAGATAGATTAGATTTTTTTTTCATCCATTAAACACCAAATGTTTACCAAAATAATTTTCTCCATAAAACGAATACAAGCACTCATCACAGACTCATAAATAATTCATCTATTCATTACTCTCTGCTCCCACAATAATAATTATGGGCTGTGATCTAACTTCATTTCTTGTGTTTCTGTGTCTCCCAGTTGCGTGCCCATGCTGTGGACATGAATGGGAACCAGGTCGAGAACCCCATCGATCTGTACATCTTCGTCATTGACATGAATGACAACAGACCCGAGTTCAAAAACCAGGTCTACAATGGCTCTGTGGATGAAGGCTCTAAACCAGGTATTGACATATGAATGGATGGAAGGATAGATAAAACATGAAGTGTGAAGCAGGAGCAATTACAGGGTAGACGAGTTAATTAAAGACTGGAAAGATTTGAAAGATTAAAGAAATGTGTGATGGTGCTAGATACGAGTGGACTGATGACGAGCTACTATTATATCAGGAGAGGCTGGTGTCGTTAAAAGCATGACTACACCAGTGAATCTTTGACACAACTGAGAATTTTCCATTCCCCCTGATTTAGCAGACAGACAGAGAATCTGTCTCCTATAGTGGCTTTTCATTTAGCTGGCTGCAGCAGTGGCCATAAACCAAAGAGGGTGCTCAGGCTGGAAAGGAGATTGAGGATGAAATGTACCACGCTGTAGCACCACTGGGTCATTTTATGTCTAACCTCAGAGCGAAAGAATCACGAAGATGAGCTCTCTGTGTGCATGTGTGTGTGTGAGTGTGAGCCTGATGAACCCAACTTTATTGCACCAGGGGTGATTTCAAGAGGTGTCCAGGTACTAATTTCTCTCTTTCTTTTTTCTTTCTTTCTTTCTTTCTTTCTTTCTTTCTTTCTTTCTTTCTTTCTTTCTTTCTTTTTCATGCCTGCCTTCCTTTCCCTTCAGCCTTCCCTCACACAGCAGACAAGTCTCTGTGGCATGCATGACATTCTGCTAAACAATAATCATAAAAAAAAGAGAGTTTTAGAATTTAGAGCTCCAGTGGTTTCAATGGAAGGCCAATTACAGACTTGAATTAGTTTGCAAATTAAAGAGTCATTATGGGGACCTAATCCTGTCAGGCACAGCTTAGGACGCCCGTACAAAGGGTCCACATTAAACCCCCTAAGAGTGCAGCTTAATGAAATTACCCCGCCGATGTGTGACACATTGTGATTCTTCATCTCCTTCTCTCTATCCCTCCATCTCTAGAAAAAAGTGATGTGTGGAGGACTGATAGTCACTCCGCTTGGAATCTAACCAAATATGGAGTCTGTCCTCTGTTTCTCTCATTTCCTCCTCCCCTCTCTCTCTTGCTGCTGCCTTTTATTTCTCGTCTCGCTGAGAGGCCTTTAGAGTGCTCCCTCTGGCCGAGTCATTGACAAATGTTGCTTTGAAATGTAATGAAGTTTGAAATGGGAGCTGCGGTTACAATTATCCTCGGACAGGGGCTGTCACTGGCATGATATCACTATCTCTGGCAATTAGAATCAGCTACGGGAGAGGGAGAGCAAGAGGGAGAGAGAGAGATGGAGAGATTGGGTGACAGGCAGTGGTCCCACACAGTTATATGAGTGCGTGGAGGCAGGAATGCAAACAAGTGGTGCCTTCATGGGAGGATTGTGGCTTCTTGTCTGCAACAGAACTGTGTCTGCATATACTTTATGTCTGTACTTACTTGTCCTTTAAGTTAGAGTGATTGTCACTTACAGAACATGTTTCCAACAGGCATAAATCTGTATAGGTCCTTTTAAGCGAGTCTTATCAAACATGTAGACAGTTTAGCTACATTCATGTGCATACTAATCAATTTGCTATAAGGCTTATCTACCTAAATACCTTTCATCAGTAAAAGCAAAATATGATGTGAATTAGGTTGCTATAAAAGCTTAGCTTATCTTATAGCAGAATGTCTGTGTCTGGTCCTGCTTCTGGTTGTTGAAGTCATGATTTTTTGCAAAATAGGTGTCCAACATTTCTCTGCTGGCATAAATCTGTACACATCAATGAACATCATAGTAAGTGTTATCAAACTGTTATGGAACATGTTATGGTTTATTAACCACTTTTATGCAGACATTAACCAACATCAGTGTGATTATTTCCAATGTATGTCATTAAAATCTGTTTGTAGGATGGTTGATTAAGGAGAGCAGTGCAGTGTGCACAGTGCACCTGCAGCCTCTCCCTCTCGTTGCTTCACTTTAAACTAGCCAATAAAAGGCATGACAGCACAAAATGTTCAAAGTTAAATGAGGACTTAGTCATTTATTTTATGGAAACAACTAGAATATAAACAACTACATGTAAATTTTGCCAAACAGCGGCCACTGTGGTTACAAGGGGCAAATATGGAACACTGCTGACCTGCTTTTGTTGCTGCTGTTCTTAGTCAAACAATATCTCAAGTAGAAAAGAGTGATGAAGACAAGAAACTGCTTCAGTAATTTCAGTTGCACACCAATAACTAGCTAATGTTAGCTAACATTAGCTACCATAAGGGACCATGTCAGTCTGCAGCAGCAAAACTCCTGAGTGTATTGAAGTGGGCGAGGGTGCCTTTTATTTCTATGATATTAAAAAGTTAGTTAGTTAGTTAGTCTCGCTTTAACATAAATTCAATTTTGATGGAAATTGAATTTGACATATTTACTTGTTACTTTCTGCTACAGCATGCTTGGCTGCCTGTGCACGTGCACGTTGAGAAATATTCTTTTCTTTCTCAGGAACATATGTGATGCACCTGTCGGCGTTTGATGCCGACGACAACACCACCGCTAATGGAATGGTGCGCTATCGAATCCTTTCCCAGACGCCGCACAGCCCCATCCCTAACATGTTCACCATCAACAGTGAGACTGGAGATATTGTGACGGTGGCACCTGGTCTTGATCGAGAGGTTGGTCTTCTACATCCCCGTGCATTCACAAAAGGCCGTTAATGTTAAAGATAAAATCGTATAAAATTAAGCAAAAATAATCATCACAAATAAGGATTGTATTATGCTTTTACTCTGAACACTGATTATTGAACTATAGCTGGTTAGAAGATACACCTTTGTCTTCGTTTATGGAGCAGCTCCTAACAGCATTGTTTACTCTGATGACACTCTTGAGATGTGACTTAAAAATGTTTTGTAGCCATTTGTCACCACACACACTGACACACACCCACGTCAAGTCATCTTTCTTTTTTTTTTTCTTTTTTTTTTTTTACACCAAATTGCCTGCTTCTGCGGTCACCTTGTTTATGGAGCTATAAAAGTTGTGACAAGATCCAAATGTGTTTATTCTTGCGACATGGATGTGCCAGTGACAACTCTGCAAAGAAATCTCGGAGACAGATCATCGTCCCAAACTGTCACCAGTGACAGACCTATTAACAACACATCATGCTGCAGTGGGCTGCTCACGTTGTGTTGTGGGTGTGTATGTGTGTGTGTGTGTGTGTGTGTGTGTGTTTGTGTGGTGAAGATAGAGTGGAAATATCTGAGATAGAATGCCCTTGACACCTGTCAGACAAACACAAAAGCCCATATAATCACATCTACACTCGATAAAACACAGGCAATGGAGTGGAAAAAAAAGGAAACTGTAGGGGGCAATAGAACAAAAACAGACCTCGGCAGATGGGGTATTACAATGAGGGTGGAGTAAGTGAGTGTGAATTTGGCAAAGAAGATAGGGTGATGGACATGAGACATGAGGGTACCAGAGGAAGGGAGAGAGAGAGAGGCATGAAGGGAACATGGAGTAAAAAAGCCTGAACATCTGCTGCTTATTTTTGCTTTGTTTTATCTGTACACTGCTAATCCCCCCCACCCCCCCAATGTAGGATTAAACCCCCTACCACGAGCATCTTTGTGCTTCTTCACTGAAGAGGACTCCTATTGACATAATTCATCCCCTAGCCACTAACCTATTGTCTATATTCATCCTGTGAGAGCAGTGTTCCTCTTTTTCAGGAGCTCCCTGTTTACAATCACATTGTTAACACACATTCAATCCTGGAAACCGCATGTCACAGGTTGGCCAGAGAGCAGCACCAGTGCTTAAGGGCACATCAGTGGTGGTAATGAGGGAGTGTCAAGTTCTGCTCCATCACTTTCCCCACCCTGATTCAGACCCCATTCACACCTGGTATCAACATACAATCTGTACTTGGATATCTTAACTGTATGGAGGGGAGCTGTTTTTTAATGCACATCATTTTGAAGCAGTTGTTTGATTAATAAGTTGGTTGATGAACAGAACATTAATTGTCAGCTATTATCTATTATTATAATTGATTTACTGTTTGTTTTTTTTCTGTTTTATATCATTGCAAAAATGAATGACTTTGGGTTTCGGACAGCATAAGCAATTTGAAGATGTCACCTAGGCTCTGTTTTCTCTACTTTCTATTGTCAACCAATTAATAGTGAATCAACTATTGAGTTGATTCACTCAGTTAATTAACTTGATAAACCATGAAAAGTTAATCACTTGACTACAGGGAAGGAAAACAAATGTAGCCCGTAATGCAGTGTGTGAAGTGTGAGTGCATAGCAATCAGAATGGATGAGTCAGCCAGACCACATCTGTGCTGCATATGCGTTGGCCATATTCTTAAGACAAACATTTGCACAAGATGAGAGCTCACCTACCACTGCCTCTTCCTGCTCTCTCTACCAAGCCTGGCAGAAACCCCTGCCTTGGCAGAGTTAAAGCAAAGCCCATAGAGCAGCATCACTTCACTTGACCTGGGACCACGCTTGCTGATAAATCCGTCAGCTGCACCGACCTAATTTGCTCTTTGAGATCCCATCACAGTAAGGGCAGAATCAAGATAGGGAGAATGCTTTTTAATATGAGACCCATGAAGAGATGAAACAGCCCATAGAAGAAATGACAACCAGCCAATCTGTCCCCAACTTCCAAACACGCTGTCTCTCTCGAGATCTAAAACTCAAATTGGCTCTCACAAAGACAGGTGTACAAGAGCACGCACACATGCTGTACACGCACAGACATAAACACGATTACGATGTATCTATTTCTCACACAAATGTACTTGTGCACATACTTTTGTATGTGTGCACAATTACACACAGTTTCTGTTGCTTACAAATACATACTTGTGTTTTCCTGTAACATTTTTCTCAGAGAGCAGATAAGACGTCTTGCAGGAGAAAAATCAGAGCTTCTATACTGTACATAAACTAGGAAGATGCTACGCAGCACACTGCAGTGCTTCCCTGGTCCACTTTTAGTCAGCACTTTGGCCCTTTGAAACTTTGAAAGTTTATGTGTCTCCTTTTCCTTCTTGGGCTGGGGTGTTGGAGGTGTTAGGTGCTACAAAAAGAGAAGAAAAAACAAAAACACAGGCATCTATTTTTGGTAATCCTTCTCCCTTGTGCCTCAACTGCATTCCCTGCTGTCTCTTATCCTTTCCTCTGTTCTTCACTTTTGAAATGTCTTTTTCCTCTCCTTTATAAACTCCCACACAGATTTCTCTTCTAAAGGTTTCCACTGGTCTGTAGTGGACTTTAAAAAGCTTGTTGACAGTAACAGACCTCAGTCCTCCAGAGGAACCTGGGTATGCTGTGGTGTTGTTGCAATGCTGAGAGGTTCAGAGGAGCTCTACATAATTACTCCCTTGTCTAATTAGTGAGAGTGTTGTGTACATGCTGTACACAGGCTGATGGGACAGTCAGGCAAGCACTGCTTCTAAACAAGATATGGAGAAAAAGATGTGTGTGTGTGTGTGTGTGTGTGTGTGTGTGTGTGTGTGTGTGTGTGTGTGTGTGTGTGTGCTTGCGGATGTTTGTGGGTGCTTGGTTGTGTGTGCGTATGGGTGTTAATGAGAGTGTGTGTACAAGGTTGGAGTTCAACATCTCATCTAGCATCAAGATGAGAGGAGCTGTCTAATCTTCATGATGTGGCGTCCTGGCCTAATTGGGATATTTACTCGGTAATTAGCAGGTGAGAGAGACACTGGGAATGTAATTGGGAATCTCAGTGACGAGACACATTATCCAGACTGTCGGCTCCTGGGCTCCATCCTTCCTGCAGCCCATTAACTGCACCATGGGACAGAAGAAGAGACAGAGGATGCCGGCAAACAGAGGGAGGCGCGTAGGAAAGGAGAATGGGAAAGGAGCGGCATGGCTCCAAGCCCACAAACACACCCAAGTACAAAAATACAAATAAGAGAGCCATATTTCAGCTTACAGTGAAGTGACACTGTGTCATTTTAAAAGATGAAATGGCATTTATCATTCTCTCATATCATTTTCTCCATAGATAGTCTATTAATCTTTTCCAGTTGGAACATTGTCTTCACATCTGTCCATCAGGGGCAGTGAATAAGTGATGTCTTTGATGACACACCCATGGGGAGGCTTCACAGTGCAGCCTTTGCAGATGGTGTGAAGTCTGGATATGTTCCGCTGAGGAGGTTTCAACTCAGTCGAATGAAAGACTTCACCCTTGCGATTCTGTGTCTCAAATAAAACCATGGACAGCGACTATAGAACAGAACACAGCCTCAGCTTTTTTTTTTCCTCTGGGAGTCACAGTCTGTGGCTGCCGCTGTAGACACATGGAAGAGAGAGCTTTTTGTGGACGAATAACTGCTCACTCCTGTCTCTTATGTTTCTGCCTTTAACAGAAAGTGTCCCAGTATACCATCATCGTGCAGGCCACGGACATGGAGGGCAACCTGAACTTTGGCCTTTCCAACACAGCCACCGCCATCATCACTGTCACAGACATCAACGACAACCCTCCCATGCTGACCTCCAGAACTGTGAGTTGCTACAAATCAGGGAGTGGGGAAAGGGTGACAGTTTTTAGAAGGAGAGGGTTTGGGTTCAGGGAAGGGGGGTGGACATGATGAGTATGTTGAAGGGAAAAAAAAGGGTAGAGAGAGAAAGACATTAAAGATGAGATAGTGGGGAGAATGAAAAAGAGGGAACAATGGAATGAGGAAAGGAGAAAGGAAATGACTACAACACTGTGTTATGTTGTTACACAGGAAGATTTACACAAGGACGGTGAGGGAGGGTTATGAAGTGCAAAGGGTACTTACTCATTTCCTTGTAAAGGCTGCACACTCACTCACACTCACACACACAAGCAAAAACTAATCCATATCATTGACTTTCATCAGCAAGAAAACTAGAGCCAGCAAATCATAGATGATTGTTGTCATGATTGTGATATTTAAAATAATGATTACATTACAGAAAGCCATTATTAAGAGTGAGGTAAAGTTTAAAAGCCCAAAGTAAGTAATGTACGTATGTAATGTATCATGTCACTGGTGGTGATATTCAGCGACATCATCCCTAAATGAATCGGTGAAGTGGAAGATTTAGTGTTGTTAAAAAGTTTATCTCTCTTTTTTCCACTCCACCTTAGTTTAACTCTCTGGTTATTTCTCTCAGTGCCACTGAGTGTTCAGATGTGTGGGTGGAACAGCTGAGGTGGCAGCAGTATCTCTCACTGACTGTTGGTTGGAATGAAAGTCTCAAAAGTCAAAGTTTTATTTATTTTGTGTCGAAGACATGCATTAGTTTAGGGCAGTGGAGATGAAGAAAAAATTAGTTTGTCTGCATTCCGGTTTCCTGTTATGAAAAACCTTTCTAGGTGTCAGTATGGCTTCAGGTGTCAGAATTATTCACTATGTGTGATTTCCTATCAGTGGTGATGAGAGCAGAGGCCTTTTGGGTAGATAAGGTGCTTAGCTCTGCAACTGCGGGGAAAGCAGCTGAGGCCGTATCAGCACTACAGTAGACTCGGCTCTTTGAGGTGGAAGCCGAGGAGTTAGCATTAGCACATGCCCTGGGGGCTATTAAGACCCTTATAATGATGAGTTAGCAATGGCGGTAAAGCATGTGTCAGCCATCGAGCTCATCAGAGAACTGCTACATCACACACAGCAGGAAATGAACAGAGAGGGGGCACAGGAAGAAAAAGGATAAGACACAAAGGAGATGGTGAGCAAAAAGACAACAAAGAGGGGAGAGGAGTTGATGACTGGACCACCACCAGACTCCCAGATGATAAAAAAGTGTTGAGAGAATGATGGGGAGAGGAGAAAGAATGAGGGATTATTTAGTCACAGGAGCTATTTTCCACGGCGGCAATGATAAAGCATAGACATGCCCTGTTGTAAATCAGAAGTCTTTCCTGACTCGGCATCCCCCACCCCACCCCCTTGCACTAAGATTCTCTACTGATGGTGGTGTATTGATGATAGTGGCCAGTAATAGATTGATACTCTGTAACTGTATTCCACCGTGTTTAAGTGCATTTCCATCGCCACATCATGGATATTGATGATAAACTTTAGTGGAGGTTTTGGAGCCACGATGAGCAGAGCACTTTTACCCACTCCTTTCATAAATCACCCATTTCAGTGGTGGGATAACATAAAAGCCATTTTGTTGAGAATGCAGGCCATTATGCAAATATTTAGTGTTTGCAATAAACCCCATAGATCTTTCAACGTGTCCCAGAAATATAAAGTTTGGGGAATTTGTCTTTAATGTTGATGATTAATATTTCATCATGCCTATCAGAGGCTGGCCTATTTTTCATTACGGCAAGGGGTGGTGTATGTGTATGTACGTGTAGGCTTCGGGTGCCTACTCAGGGCTGCATGTATGCTTTGCATTATTTCTGTGATGCGGATAGATGTAATAAACTGAAAAAGAGTTATTAATGTCTTAATTGTATGTGCATACAGTATACTGTAACAATGACTGTGTAGTGTGTAGAGAATCAGAGGTATCTCTGTGCAGGATCCACTGCAGTTCTTTGTTGTCCTCCTTCCTTTACTGTCCTCACAATGTTCCTATGATGAAGCTTCCTGTCACTTCTCCTTGCTCTCCTTTCAAGTCCCCTTTCCTGCTTTAGTCTTTCCCCACTGCCAAAATAGTGACAGGAGGGTGAGGCTGTTGGCAAGAGGTGTTTTGTCAAGTGCTGTGAGAAAGTCACTGCACTCTGTGCCAGTCACATTCACAAGAGCTCCCCCTTCCTTTCTTCCGGTCCACCAGTTGGGGACAAGTTACAGTATCATAGAGAGATCAGAGAGAGTCTGAGCCTTTGCTGAAAGACACCATGGTCATACAACAATTCACCATTGAAACAATCATTACTGCAGTACACAATAAGTGTCAAAGCAGTATTCATCTGATAAATCATTAAGAGAGTGAAAGAAGGAGTACAGGCCCAAGTGAGATTATAATTCTCTCTGTTGAAGCTCACAAATGTTGCATCACAATCCATTATTGACAATAACCCCACCAAACGTCAAAGCTCACAATCATAAATGTCTGAAAGAGATAGAACAGCTTGAATATAGTCAAGAATCGGGAAGAACTGCTCATTCTAGAAAAAATAGTTCACTTTGAATTCTTACTGGGAAGTTCACTCTTGAATTTAACCTGAAATGCTAAAAGTTGTTCTTCACACAATCTTGTGCATTTCACAGTTTTCTCTTGCAATTTGGCAATGTGGAATTAATTTTCTAAGTGATTGTAATGATAGAGTTTTATGTGCAGTGAATTTAAAATTGTCATGCCATGTAAGATTGCCTATGGGGAAAATAAATAAGATTTTTATTACACAAGGTTTGGATGCCTGATGTAACCCCTTTCAATCCCCCACTTTGTAAAGAGATAACAAGAGAAGAAACCTTAAACGGGGGTATCGATAATAAAAGTTGCAATGGACCCTTCAAAGTCTCTCATCAGATCTTGTTTGCCTTAGTTGTTACTGTGTACAGAGAAAGAAGATGCTTAAGGGCCCTTAGGAGCTGAAGAACCATCTCTCAAGTTTTATTTTATTGAATTGGCACTGGGGAGCCCCTGAACCGATCCACAGTAATAAACCACACAAGCACACACATACACACACACACACACACACACACACACAGACACACACACACACACTTGCCATGACACAAACATACCACAGCCTGCCTACTTATCCGACGCAGGCAGTGCATCAGGACCACCCGGACTTGTCTGTTGTCTTAAGAATGTCATTGAGTCTCTGAGCAGCTCTCCTGACGCAGCCCCCTAATCTGCCCGCTGCTGTCGGCTGTTTGCTGGGTGATGCGAGGGTTGCCAGGCAGGGTATTATGGTCCGTCGGAGTGTTTGGTCTGGGGCTTTGCTCTTTGATATCCTACACTCACATAAGCAGCTCAGTGGCTCTTCCACGCCTGTTACCCATGGTGACACGGTGACTGTACGGTGCTACATGCCTGTTGCTTCGAGATGAGGTGAAGACACACCAACATGCTCACCCTCTGACCCCACATGATTGGTAAAGAGTTGATGGGTTGTTCGTGTGGGTGGGGCTGTGGTTGACTTGTGTTTTACAGGGTAGCGGTGCCGTCATTGCTGTTGTTGGTTCGTCTTTGTGGGCTTTATCCCCTGAGCCTATATGGCTTTGATCAATCCCCACCATAACAGACACATGACAGACAGCAGCTCACTCCTCATCAGGCTTATCAGGACAAAGCACATGTGTTTGTACAGCACGGGGACAACTAAAAGCCACTCATATACACTCAAACAGCTGTTTTTACCCTCCCCACTGCTGGCTCCTTTCTCTCTCTCCTTTGTCACTCTGGCTTTCAAAGGAATGAAATATTATTGCTCATCAAGGATGAGTACTGGGAAGGCAGAAAAAGCAGAAAACACTGAAACTGGAACAACGGCCCTGTGTGGATATGCTTGCTGGTGTACAGCTAGGTTTACCGCTTGTTTACAACTCAGTGGTGGTAAAATTGAGATCATTAAACTTATTCTACCTGAAAACATGGAAGGAAGACTGGCTCTATAAAAACAAGACTAGGTCAAAACCTAGTACATGGCTGAAGTGTGACCAAAGTGCAAAATTGAGGATGTAGTTGAAAACTGTTGTGGAACCGCTGTAACCAAATAACATCATTGTGTCCTATTTGCATTGTGCCTAGTGTCAGCCGGATTCAACCCTTTTTCAGCCTCATTTTTATTCGCTAATGTAATGAAAGTAGATTATTGCTGTAATGGAGGTGAGGCTCTGTGAATTGGAAGCCATAGTCCATTTCCCTGCAGCTCTCGAGCAGCCGCAAAACCAGGGCAGCAAGGTAACTGCCCGAAACAAGAGGTGTAGCCCTAAGCCCACATTTTGGACCAATACACAGTCCAGTCATATGTTTATATCTTGTCTTGTTTGAAAAAAGTCTCTAAATCTCATGACAAATGCGCTAAGTTGGCAACACTGGAGCAACACCCCCCTAAATGGAAAACTGTTTGCGCCTATTCATTTTGAAAGAGCAATGGCTAATAGGGAAACTCCAACTCAGTCACATGGCATTCGGCCGACCAATAGTGAAATTATGACCACTCACTCAGTCAGTCATTCAGTCATTCATGGACATTCACAATTATAGGGCTGGCCCTTACTATTGCGGTCAAGCCAAAAATGGAAAAGAGAGATATCAAATCAACATATTACAAGGTAACATTTTCATCTATTTCTGCAGTTTTCCGGTGAGGTCCCAGAAAATCGAGTGGATGTTGTGGTGACTAATCTGACGGTGATAGATGCTGACCAGCCACACTCACCTAACTGGAACGCCATCTACAGGATCATCAGCGGAGACCCATCGGGGCACTTCACCATCCGCACTGACCCCGTCACTAATGATGGCATGGTCACGGTGGTTAAGGTAAGACACCAGCCTTCAATCAGAACATGCTCAGCTTCGGGCACTATAGAAGTCAGTGTAGAAGAAACAGTGTCATCTCTTCTTCTGTGTTGAATGCAGACAGGCTGGGGTATTTGCCTTTCATATGCCCCTTTATGTCCAAATGAGGGATTGGAGGCCACTGCCCTTCAGAAACTCACAGACTTAAACACAATGGCTGGCGAGACCACTGTAGCAAATTAGGTATTGATTTCTCAATTACAAAGGCAACAGTTTTTATACACTCATAATGTGCTAGCTACTGTGGTAAATGACAGCAACAACAAAACTATGTCTTGTAACAACCTTCTATGTTAGTGTTCAACCCCGCTTACACAGGTTGTCCAGAGGGTTGCGAACCGTTAAGCAAAAAAATACAGAAAATGGACTAGGGAAAAAAAAATCCATATGATATTCAGCTTGTAGTCTGTGTGTGTATCTAAAGTGTGTAAATGCGCATGCTGTTGTATGGCCTTTGGGATTTGTATTTGTGTGTTCATCCATGAGTGGTTCACAGTGAATGTAATTATCGTGTCGCATGAGTTTTGTGGAAATAACTTGTTTATTTTTGTGACCCTGATGACCCAGGGGTATTGTCCTCATGTATCTGACTCCAACAAATCGCATCTCGCATCCTACAATAATGTTTAAAAAATAGCAATAACACCTCCCTATAATTCCCACAGCACCCTGAGCAATGAGCATTGGCATTTTGTTTCTCTTCATTATCTCTAGATGACTGCCTTTTATAATCCATTCCTCTCACTCCCTGATGTAAAAGTCAGCAGGCAGCCGGGTAGCCGTAAGCTTCCATAGAGACCCAGGGGAGGTTATCAGGAAATCAAAAATAAGAGACAGGACACCCCCTGGGAAGAAACGAGAAATAGACTGTCTCAACAAGTAAACAGAGGGGCTCAAGCTTGCACCAGGGAAAAGGGAGCCGGAATGGTTCACATCAGACAACGTACCGTAGGTAAAATCAAGAAGCCAAAAGAATGCGCCACCTTGGTGTACCTGTTTTTACCAAGGTATCTGCTGCTGCTAGTGCAAACACATCGAAACACACTGACACCCAGGTATGCGGCAAATCTCCCACAAGGCACCTGAGCTCCTTTGTAATCAAGGGCTGAGGTCTCAACCTAAACATGTCACACATTTACGCTGGTCTCCGAGGAGTTTATGAGACGTATTCTCATTTTACCGCATGGTAATAAAGCCGGTAGACAAACAAGCACGCATAAAAACACACAAACAGATCCACTCGGTTCAAATGAGTCATTAAGATATGTAAATCACAGCTTACGATAAACACGGAAGATGACAGGGGAAGTGGAGTGAAGTGATGCAAAGACAGATTTCCGAGGATTGAGAGATACAGATTGCGGTGGGTGGAGGATTTGGGGGGGGGAGTTGGAGTCCAGCGGAACAAATAAGGTAAAGGGGAAAGAGGAACGAGTGAAGCGATACAGAAGAGATGTAAGATGTGATGGCTCACGGGCAAAAGATGGAAGCCGTGTTATTGACCTCTCACCCCTCTGGCTTCCCTTAGGGTGTGTGTGTGTGTGTATGTGTGTGTTTTAGTTAGCCTACAGCTATACTCTAGACCTCCCTGTGCTCTGAATACCACTGGCTGTAGATCAAAGAGCCTTGAGCATGGTTAGCCTGTAAATGGGTTCCCAGTGCACCTTGGGGTCACACACGAATACACACCCATGTGCTTACATTTACTTTACTTACTTACATTTATTCACACAGACATATCCACACCAGTGCCCTTGTCAACCAAGCTGCCTGATTAAGGATGCTTTTTTATATCAGAGCTGTGCCACACCGTCCACTGATAACACTGAGGCAACGCAACATACAAATGTGCTCAAAGTCATTAACATCACAATCAAACACCACAGACACAAGCCTTGCAGCAGTAATCATCATCCGCCTATTTAGAAATGTGTCAGCAATACCTACAAGCAGCGTATTTGTTCTCTTTTTTATTTCCTTGCTTCTTGTTGTCATTTGAACCTGATCGTGTAGTCTTCATTAGGAGAGCACAGAACTGTCACTCTGGTTTAGGCTCAGCTGGCAAAACCCCCTGTAGAGTACACATATACACACACACTCACTCAAAAGGCAGAGCCATGACAGCACCCTAAGAATAGTATAAACCCTGCCACCTCTTCTCAGGGTGTGTATGTGTGTATGTTCAGGCACGGAGTGGCTAATCGGGAGGCACGGGAAGATTCCTGGTGGGCCGGGCTGGTTGTTGGGCCGCAAGGGCCAGTGACAGGGTCGGTAAACACAATAATTGTATAAATAGATCGTGCAGGCTGTCGTGTTAGGTCCTTTAAATAAACTCTGACAACTACTCAGAGTAAGTTTATGACTTTTATTCAACATCAAATTCACAACAGCTTTTAGCAGTATGCTATTGGGTCGGTGGCTCAAGGTGAAAAAAAAAAATTAAAAAATAAAGAGGGCGAGAGACAGAGGGAGAGAGAGACAGCAAGAGGCAGAGGGATCGATAGCGCGTTGTTTGCCGATTGGCCCACTTGAGCAGGCTGCAGTCTGTGATTCTGTGTGACCATCATCTGCCTCGCAGGCAAACTACGTTCGGTTGAGTAACAAGGTTAAACATAAAAAATGTGTCTGAAAATCTCAGAGAAAAGAAGTTAAAATCCAGAAAAATCCCAGTTGCTTCAAATAGTTGCAGACAACAGACAGGAGGAGCTGAGCAGCAGAGCTGGTTCAGGACCACAGCCCGCAGTGCAGCTTCCAGTAAGTCCAGTATAAACACCAGTCAGGTTTTACAGAATAAGCGGTAGGCTGAAGACAGCAGGAATCTAGTCTGAGTCGATTTAGCAGGATAATGTTGTATAGCTTCGTTTTCTGCTCTTGTTTCATCAGAAATTCTAATACGCTAAATTAAGTACTCAAAGTCTGTGTGATCAGCTCAGATCTACAGATTTTTTTTACAGAAACATCCATTGAAGGAAGAAGTATGGCTGGTATTTACTCCTTAATGTCCAGTCTGAATCCTGGTCTCACACTCTCTATAGCTACTTAAAAAAGAGAAGTGCAGTTTAATGTGCCTGTTGTTCTATTTGATTCATTGTGTGTGTGACAGGTTGTACGTGATAATGTGCCAGTCCAAGTGAAAAGTCCCAGCCTGTTTTTTATTCCCACTCCATCCCTGTTTGTACCTGTGTGTGTGTGTGTGTGTGTGCGTGCGTGCGTACATGTGTGTTAGTTGTTTAGAGAGAATATGGGTTCAACAGGGGACCACTTGACACGGCATCTGTTCATTTCCTTTGTCATCAACAAGGTTCAACAGCTATTCCCCAGCCACGGGTGAAAGACAAATGTTAACAGGGGTTTTAACATAATCGGCATAATATTTATAGTGCATCTATGCTGGTTTGCTCATAAAAAGTAATAATAATGATAATGCTACTAATAACAGCAATAATCATGAGATGAGGAAAGGCTTTATTTCTTTTTTTTCACCTGTAAGTCAATAATGAAGACTGTACTTTCACATGAAGAATATATTAATTTCTAAATAGTTTTACCTATTTTCCCCATGAAAAAGTAAATTAACATTATATATACATATATCAATATAGTCTAGTGTTATGTGCATTTGAATATCATTTGTAAAAGCAAAACAAACACCTCTGCTCAATTATTTCTCAGTTTATTACAGTTTAGTAATCTGACATGTAAAGCTCATAAATTGAGAATTAATGAAGCAAAAATATTTGTTTTGCTTGCACAAATGTGCACAAATGATGTGCAAGCAAATGAATCACCACTTTGGAGTCATTTAGAAGTTGTTGGTGTGCTGAGGTCTAACCAAAAACCAAAAGCAGTGCAAGGATAAAATTTTTATTTTGACTGCACTAACGAATCAAAATGGTTTTATTGATACCCTAATTATATGGGGTGCCAACTTCAAAGAGGTACTAAACTGGTGCAGCTTTGTCCTGTTCACTAAATGTGTCTGTACTTCAAATTATATTTGAGTTTTCAGATTAGTCTGAAAGACTGGCTCATTAAGTTTATTCGAGTCTGTTTCTAGTTTTGTGCAATAAAAATAGTGTAAGTAATTTTCTACGGTGAGGCATTACATTTTTCGACATTTATTACAAAGGCTATTTTGGCCTTCCAAAGCGCTTCAACTGTCAAAAGCTCCTGGTAAATTAACACACACATGATGAGGTGAACACGAGTAACCTTAGTTAGAGCCATTCTAAGGCTTCTTTCATCTATTTCTCCTCCAATCTAAAAACTATCTTTGATTGTTTATCAAGAGAAAGACTTGAGGCTTTATAATGTTTTAACCACCTGAATTCAGTTAAACTATCTTCTCTCACTCATGTCATTAACTCTTCCTTCCTTCCTCTAGCCAGTAGACTTTGAGATGAACCGTGCCTTCATGCTGACGGTGGTGGTGTCCAACCAGGCCCACCTAGCCAGTGGCATCCAGTCGTCACTCCAGTCCACAGCAGGGGTCACCATATCTGTCCAGGACGTCAACGAACCCCCTTACTTCCCCACCAACCCAAAACACATCCGCTTTGAGGAGGGTGTCCCTGCTGGCACCAGCTTGACGACCTTCTCGGCCTCAGATCCCGACCGACTACAGATGCAGCAGATAATCAGGTACTGAGTGAATACAACAGAGCAGACAACAGAACAGGTCCTAATTGGGGTAATTCTGACATTTTAACAGCATGCCATCATCTTCTTCTGGTGCAAAATCATTTAGATTCAGTTACATAAGTTCTATTACATATGCTCAGTCTGAACACAGAAAAGTATTGTCTGAATGAGCCTTGAAGTCTCACTATCTGTATTGTAAGTACAAGCCTGGCAGAAATCCCTCCATATGCACAAGCAGAAGGCTAAAAAGCCTATTGGATTGGTTCCATGTGAGTAGTGAAGGGTCAAAGTTCAACAAGGGGACTATATTTTGGCATCACCCATCTCTCAAAGTCTTACTCTGCGAAGTTTATGAGCCAGTGGAGAACTCTGAGTAAGGAGGGTACGAAGGTTAATAGGGAGCAATAGCCTCTGGGGTAATCAGAAGTGTGTGCATTCTGTAGGTTGCATGTGCACATGCATGCAGGTGCACACACACACACACACACACACACACACACACACACACACACACACACACACACACACACACAAACAGCAAGAGAGAGAGAGAACAGAAAAGATGGAGGGAGGGGGGAGTGTAAGAGGAACAGCTGGCTCAAGCCCAAATGCCTGACACAGCATTATGTCCACCTGCAGTGTTCTTCCTCTGCGCTAAGCCTCTCTGGATTTTAAATGTAAACCAACCTTTAAATGACCAGCAGACCTTTCCTCAGTCCTACTGTCAGCCCAACAGCAGCAGTGATTACATTATTGCCTTTCAAAGTTAGAGGTAATCTATGAAATACACTTTCCTCCGTATTGATGTTGCAGTCGTTTTTGAACATCACACAACTGCAAGATTCCATGTGTTTCCACTCATGGTCACATGTTGAGTGTCCTTATAGATTATTGTGAGTGTATTGGTGTAATTTAGAAGCGCCACTGTATTGCACGGCAATTGAGTTGATAACATGGCTGTTGAGTGTGACATTAATACCACCTCTTTCCAACCACCCCACACTCCAACAGCCCCTTCCTTCCCATTTTCTCTGGGGAAAAGATCTAAACAAATTTCCCAGCTAATTTCACAGCAAATGAGAGTAAATTGGGTGTACATTATAATTTAGATAGATGCCAAAGTCACCAGCTGGGCTCTCTCTCTCTTTCTCACTCTCTGCCTTCTCTTTGTCTCTGCCTCTCTCATCCTCTCTCCCTGTTGAATTCACTTTGACCCCTTTGGTTTCCTCCCTGTTTTTCCATGACCTGTGCAAGACTGCAGGCCTGTACATCTTGGAATTAAGTTAACCTTTTACAAGCATGCTGTGGTCTGTCAAGGTCTACTTAACACAAACATAAAACCAAATCTCCTTCCTCTGCTCGCACCACTTGAGGAAGGAGGCCTGTAGAGATGGCAAACCACCACCTCAATCATTTGGATCCATCTGGATAGGATCACTATCAATCCGCCTGCTTTACACCAGTTCCATAAAAGGTATCTACTCAAGACTGTTATGCAAGGGCACTAATCACAGCTATTCCCTCTGTCTCTTGAATCCTCATTATTCTGAAAGAACAGAAATTCAGGGGTTCATTCTTTCCAATCATCTGAAATCCCTCCACAGTGTTCGCATCACCTTATAAAACTTTCATTTTTGAACTTTTAGCACACAGAGCGGATCTCAGTGTACATACTTCCAAATGCCATTAATCAAATACTTAACTGACGTGTCTGTTCACATGGGGGAGACTTCTAGGTTTGACATCACCGTTTGTGTTACATGTAATTTATGATGCCCGTCTTTGCATATGACAAAGAGCGGTATGTCTTCGTAAATGAAAGGTGGAGAAACATAAAGAGAAGAGAGACAAGGAGAGGATTTAGAGGGAGCTGTTAAAGTCCAAAGTAAGGTGAAAAAAAGACCTAAGGGATGGCGGAGGGAGGCAGAAGGGAGCTGTGGATGGTGAGCTGACTCTGGGTCAAGGTTTGAACTTGACAGGTGCTTATCAAAGGAGGGACACACTGACAGTGTGCTGCTTGGGTTGTGGAGGAGGCAATGTGGACAGGAGCATGGCATGTGGAGGGGGAGAGGGCGGGAGAGTGAGGCATCATGCATCACCTGTCAGACACCCAACCAGTAAGGTCGAGACATGGGACTGGAGACACTGGCATAAATGATTACCCAAACCGCCTTGACTAAGCTCGAGACATGCATTTTTCATCCTCAGGGTCGGGGCTTTGAAAAATAAATGTCATACCTCTCCCTGCTGCTTGCTAAGATCACTAACCTGCCAGGCATAATCATACATCCAGCTGTACTCACACACCAACCAACTCCCAAATGAGAGAAACCTTCGGGTTGAGGAGAGCTCAGGAAAGCATTGGAACTAAGATACAGGAAATAATAGTAAAACCTTCACACATTTAAAGCAGATTTTTCATTCCAAACTCGTACTAGAGTAAACAAAAACTGTTTACCTTTCCAAGAGGACAAAAAAATTGGCACTGCACTTCATTAAAAAGTTAGCGATAGGGACTGCCAATTGCCCACAGTAATGTTGTTGACAATCGGGACTTGTAAACAAAAACACTGTGAGTGCTTTCACAGGAATCATTCTAATGGCCAGAATAGCCCTATTGTTTACAGGGTGCTATCAGAAAAACTGAAGTAAGTGAAAATGGCCAACTATATTCTGTCCTTAACCTATTTAGAGTTTTACTGAAGAATAGGATTAATGATACAGGGGATTGTGCATTCACTGTGTTGGAAATGAGCTCAGCCGCAAAGACTGTTCATTCAGGACTTCATTTGCTTCATATAAGGTTTATTACATCTGCACTGAGGGCTGTTTAGGAGACTTAATTAAAGTGTGGTGGTGAACAGTGAACTCTGCTTTATGCACAAACCTTTGTGACATGGCTTTTATCATCAGAGGGCACCCATCCACTTGCAGTGCATCGTGCAGTGTGCCCAGGAAAAAATAGTTTCCAGTGGTATTTTATAGCCCATTACTGAAGAGGAAGTCTCACACACACCATTTTCTCCTGTCTCTTTTTTAATTTGTCTTTGTCCCTGATATTAAAGGGTCAGTTAATCCAAATTACAAAAAAAAAACAAAAACATGTTTTCTCACTTCTGTCGAGTCATGCAGATAATTTTGGCTTTATTTGCCTGAGTTGTGTGATTTCCGCCTTTGAAATGTCTCCCTCCACTCCAACACAGTGGGGGTTGATATAATTTCCCTTGTGGTGCTCATATTTAAGAGAATAGTTTATTCACTTATTCACTTTCTTGCTGAAACCTAGTCGAGTACATTGATACAGCTGTCATGTCTGTATGCTAGATATTAAACTTGAGCCAGCAGATGATTAGCTTATCTTAGCTTAAAGACTGGGAGCAGGGGGAAACAGCTAGCCTGGCTCTGTTCAGAGGTACAAAAGAAATCCACCTACAGCACCGGCTCCTCTAATGCTAACTGCATTTTATATCTTATGTCTTTAATCTGTACACAAGCTCCAGTGTTAAAATAGTAGGTTGTGGTTTTATGGGGAGTTACGTGCTGGCAGTAGTGACTTCCTGGAGTCTCATCATCACTGTAAGGTTGCCAGGCAATTAGCAGAATCTCCAGGGCTCCAGACTCCACTTCTGTACAGATTAAACAAACAAGATATGCTGCGTTAATTAGTGACCTTTAGAGGTGCTGGTAGGCAGATTTTTTAAATCTTGGACAGAGCCAGGTTACCTGCTTCCCGCTGCTAAGCTAATCGTTTGCTGGCTCTAGCTTCATATTTAGCATACACGCATGAGAGTCGTATCGATCTTCTAATCTAAATCTAATCTAATCTAAACAAATTCCCTAAAATGTCAAGATATTCTTTTTACTAAATTCAACAGCAAACAATGGTTCCAGTATTTGAGTGAACTGAGCATTTAATTTCCCTCTGCTCAGTAAAAAGTGCACCAGTTTGTCTGCCCTCGCCTGGAAAGACGGAACATTTTTCTTTCAGTCACAGCAGAGACAGTCAGTTTGGCATGGCAAAGCCAACAGAGATGCAGTTGGACACAGAATAGCCGTAGGTGTCAAGTCAGCCTTAATGAGGATATTAAAACCAGATCATACAGCCATGCTGCTACCTCTGAATGTCACCTCTCCTTCTTCTTCCACCCATTCCTGATCATTTCCCTTACCCTTTTATCCAACCCTCCCACTGTGATGGACTCACTGTAGTCCTGGTGGTGATTTCACAGTCCGCCAGTTAGTGGCTACGGGCTTGGCTAGCCTGTTTGAAACCGTCTAGAGTGTGGGAATGTGATCTCTGTCATCCCCTTCCCCGCACTGCGCTACGCCTGGGATCATGCCCATTGCCTGCTGGGAAAATCGCACCTCCCTCACTGCAGGAGAGAGATTATACCCTCCGTCCAAGCCCCCTCCTTATCACCACCCACCCCTCTAAGCTTCCATTCTCCTCCATGTAAGTAGAAATGTACATCCTGTATTTAATCAACACAAATAAACAAGTCATCTATATACTGACATTAAGCACACAACAATTCAATAAATATAAAAGCAAGGTTAAGGTCAAATCCATTTCAATTCGGATGGATTTAAAAGCTGGGAGTGTAGACCATATAACAACATGGCCTTATTGCCCAAACTGACATTCAGTAAATGAAATCGGATTGATGTAGAAGCCTTGTTGTGTAAGGCCAAGGTGTCAAATGTCCAAGGATGATGTTTCACATGTGAAAGTGATATTGTAGTCAGAAGAGGTGGAAGTTGATGAACTCTGTATCACAGAGAGAATGAGAGGAGGATGAGAAGATACAGACAGGGATAAGAAAATGTATGAATACAAAAGCACAGCAAGATGAGGTGAGGCGGCATGGGTTGAGAGAGATCAGATAAAACTGAAAGTGTGGAACGAGCCGAAAGCGACAAAAGCCAGAGAAACAAGAACAGTTAGATCAGAATGAGATTGGGATTCAATCCTGGAGATGATCCCCTTTTCCTTCCCTGCCCTTTATCCCAGGGGAGTGTTGCCACCTGCTACCACATCCACTTTCCTGTTTGACGATCAGTTACCAAGATTCTATCATCGAGTGTCCAGCCGATACACAGCTTCCCCATACATCCACAGGAACATTTGCAAGCATACGTGCACTAAAGCATCCATGTTTATAACCCTGTCGGGCGGTTTAGCCTTCTGCAGCATGAGAAAGCACTTCCCAAGAACATGTGCATGCAACACACAGATAGGCAGTTATAGCAGTGCTTAACTAGAGAAGTAATTGACTCCTATGCCTGCTACACAGGAGTGAAAAATTAGGTGAAATTGACTGTAGGCTGCAGGCTCTGGAGGAGAAGTCAATGAAGAATTAAACTGTGTGAAGGTCAGGCTGTTGTGATTTTGTGAGAGTGTGTATGTGCAGGCAATCTAAGTATACACGGATGCAAGAGAAAATTTATAATTGCTTGTAAACACAGAAACTGTGGTGCTAACTTCTCCATCGATCTATCCTTGTGTGTCTTTAGGTATTCAAAGCTGAATGACCCCGCAGACTGGTTGTCCATCAACAGAACCAATGGTCAGATAATAACCACAGCAATGCTCAACCGGGAGTCCGTCTATGTCAAAAACAATATATATGAAGCCACATTCCTGGCAACAGACAATGGTAAGAGGCTCTTTTAATGCACATGTTTTATCAGTGAACTCCTCATTCCTCATCCCTCACCGTTCATTTTACAGCCCCTAAAGCAGTTAATACCAAAACTAAAGTTAAAAAAAAGCATTATATAATAAAATACTATTACTATAACATAAAAGATAAATGTAATTTGCTAAAAACACATTGCATAGTTTACATATTGCACATTTGAACCTTTGCTGTGATTGATTATACAGATATTATCAAGCTATCATCTCTGCTCTGAATCCATTTGCAGCTTATCATTTTCACACTGGTCATCATGATTTATAGAAGAATGCTGGCTGTTCTTGAACGGGGAGAAGATAAATACAATTTTGATCAAAAGATGCTGCTTAAGCACGTTTCTGTGTGTCAGAGATTTCCACAGTTTTGAAGTCCCAGCAGTTATGGCGCAGGATCACAGACCTGGAAACTTCTTAGTAATGCTCACAAAAAGTTCTGATATGGTATGACTATTATTGTGTACTACAGTATAATATACATCTAAGTACAAATGAAGCATCCAAGTAATCACCCCAAACCAGCAGCAGACACGTGGGCACGGAAGTAAATGAGTGCCAGCAACGACATATTACAGGCTATAATAATAAAAATAATAAATAACTCAAGTCAAAGTGTTGTTGCCAGTGTGTAGATAGATACATGTTAAAGTGAAAAATCTCAAAAAGGTTGTAACTGAATTCTTACTAACTAACAGGGACTGGGTTCACTGGTCAGTCACAACGTGTGATCAACTCGCCACGACAACAATCTGTGTAACGCTGCACCATTATAATAGTACTGCACCAAGATGCAAGTGTGCCCAGCTTTTAAAGGGAATGGGAGATGGTACTCTGATTGGCTTATCACATGTTATGCCTGAAACACACTGATTAAGAGACAAAGTACAACCCTTTTGAACCATGCGACCATTTTTTTCTGCTGTTAAAATAGCAAAAGTGGACTGTTAAAATAGAGCCCACTGTCTTTAAGTTAAGATACTTGAATACATACAGTATAACGGCTTAATAAAAATGAAGACATTTGCGTGGATTCACGGGGATGTAAGAACACAGAAGCAGCATTCAAGTGCTGTGCAGCTTGACTAGTTAGAGAAAATCCTGGATTCATACAACTGGTCACATCATTGATCTCCTCTCCTCCCCTCTCCTCCTTCTTCTGTCCATGCCTACTTTCTCCTCCGCTTCTCACAATTCATGTGGCATATATAAATTTTTTGCTCTGCCTCAAAGTTGAAACTCAAGCTTAACTGAGCACAAACTCAATCACAGCAAACAAATAAGTTCTTTTTTTCTCAAATGGAAGTCAGTGCTTTTTCTCAACTAAAAAAGGAAATTCGTTTTCCCTCCCCAATTGCCTTATCAGTGACGTGCAGTGCACTAGTGTGTTTACCTTAAGTTGAGCTGGCTTTGAAACATTGGTGTATTTATAGTTGTGAGCATGTGGGAATGCACTCATTTCCAACACATTTATGTGAGCGTGTGTGTGTGTGTTTCACATTTATTTGCGATGACTGACAATGTCAGACACCATGATGTGTAATCTGCTGTGATGATGGGAAGGAAGAGGCACTGGGATTAGAGTTTGAGACGCTCTGGTTGTTTGGACTTCACAAACATCTCTTCTAACCCGTGATTTTTCTCTCCCTTGTGGTTCCTGGCCTTCTTTATCATTTCAATATGTTACCTATTCCCTGAAAGAGCATTTTTTTCACCTGACCTCTGTAAAGTGTATTCATGTTACTGCCAGGGTTGACTGATATTGGGACTGCAGTAAGTCCAAAAGATGAGAAGCCAGCAGTTCAAGTTATGTGTGTATATGTGTGTTTGTGTGTGTGTGTGTGTGTAAATCAGTCTTACTATGTGGGTGTTGCTGGAGTGCCAGCCGTCATAACACGAGAGGGATTATGGTAAGAAGTACTATGAGACAGTAAGGATAGTAGGATGGGACATGGAGAGGTGGTGACAGCATAGTGAGAAGTACACTTGTACTGCCACCATATTTTTGTGTTGCCCCCCAACACAATCTGACGACTTTCTGACACACACATTTCCTTTTCAAACACCTATGGTATTGTTTATGTGTTTGTGTGCTCTTCAAAAAACATATGGTAGACTTGCTACAAGCCTTTTCACCATGCCTCACATCTCTGAGCCACCATCAAAAAAAGGAGTTAATACAAATCCTTTTGAGGAATTTACACAAACATAATTATTTATTTAGCTGGTTAAAACCCACATAATTCTCCTATCAGCTGTGGCAAGCTGCTTCCACATGTCCCCCATACATGGCTAGGATTAACAAACTAGCAGAATGCTGCAGCAGCGTGTGTATTTGTGTGTGCATGTGTGTGTTTGTGCGTGCGTGTGTGTGTGTGTGTTTGTGTTTATGGTTCAGTACGTAGATGTGTTAAATTGGCATTTAAGACAGTACATTAAAAAAGTGTGCTTATAACAATGTATATGAAAGTAGCCACTAATGATAAAACTGTTGGATAATGAGTAAATCGTGAGAATCAAATAAAATGTTTCGAGCAGTTAGAAGTTGTTTAAAGGTAACATTATTATATAACCTGTTGAATGTGATGTGTGATTTCTTTTATTGTTGATGTAATCATAATATAGACTGATGTAGTCGTAGTACGTGATTATTGTCAGACTGCAATTACTGAAGTTATTACTGTAATAGTATTGCTATGTCATCAGTTTTACAGACCTTATGAGGTAATAATGAGGGTGTCATTTTAATTTATTAACTTGTTAGCCTATTATTACATTTTCTCATCATAGCTAATCACATTAACAGGTTTAGTTACATTTCATCTGTTCTTATTTCATGTTTTATTATTTGACTATCTATATAATGTGTTAGCTGTTACATTATTCACTTTATATGAGGATTATCCAGTTTTGAATTAAAGTATTAGGTGAAATAAAGTAGATGATAAGTGTCACTTGTCCATTTGATGTATCTCTACACCAAGGAAATACAGACTTTAGACTGTACCAATAAATTACCTTTCAGCAATAATTTTCATCCAGCTCTAGTTGAAACTCTCACTCTAACACTCTAGTAGAGTTATAGTTGCACATTGTTTAATGATCACTTGATAAATCTTTATCAATTAATTGCATTTTATTTGTGATCTATAGTACTAATCGTAGTATTACCAATCAGACAGGGCTCAAACTGTCAAAGGACTCACTTACAGCCCTCCGTCTTTAACTGTGTCTCACTCCTCATGTGGCAAATGTCTTGCTCTGTTGCCATGTTTAATTGGCAGATCTGTCAGCTTTGCATAAATCTCTTTGTAAATTACATCGCCCTTATCTCATCCCAGAGATGGGCCCTTGGGTCGCTTGATTCCAATGGCTCAGCCAGTGGGGCATGGAGGGGAAATGGCTCGTAATTGGAGGCAGCTAAGGGTCGTCACCCCCTGACACACACTCAATAAACAGCTCTGAGCTTTATACAGCCAAGCACTCGTTCTTTCGATTTCTCTGTGCCACATTTTCATACCACATATACACGTTCATGCGTTCTTCTCCCTGCTCTGCTATCTTACGCTGATTGCTTAAAGTGTCTATTTTTTACCTTCAGTTCCCTAATAATGCTGATGGTGATGGTCTGTTGCTCTGTTCAGTCAGTGCAAAAGGCTTCAAGATTGTGTCTGCAACTGAGGTGTGTGTGTGTGTGTGTGTGTGTGTGTGTGTGTGTGTGTGTGTGTGTGTGTGTGTGTGTGTGTGTGTGTGTGTGTGTCTGCGTCTGTGTCTGTGTGTCTGCGTCTGTGTGCACTAGTGCATGTTATTACAGTCCAAGGCTGACAATATTCTAGTGAACCAGCACCTGCAATGGCCGCCTACAGTCGAATCAGACCAGATTTCTCCACTTGTCTTAACAGTTTCCAAAGACTTACAACACAGACTCAGGTGCAACAGTGGTGCAAAGTCTACAGGCATTCATGTAAGAGAGTATCACAATTCTCAGAGCTCCCTAACAAGTCACATCTGCACCTCTGTATGTATAATAAGATCGTTGCTAAAATTCTATGAATATTCAATAAGCCAATCCTGTGCTGTAGTCATTGTGTGTTTAAGTCGTATCTACTTGTAGGATCACATTCAGTTAAGAAAAAAAAGTCACAACACACGGGTTCTACTGACTTCCACCTACCCAGAGGAGGGCACAAAATGTATCTGTTTGGCTAAATCTGCCACGTTTCCAACACAGAATAGTGGAGTTCATTGATGTGTATTGTCTCTGTGAAATAAATGAAATACACTACATTATGCGTTACAAATGAAATGCATATGATTGGCTGCTATAGTCTGCACTGTGGAACATCAACAACTGCTTTCCCCCTGCTTTACTTACTCAGGTAACATTGAAACAATTAAGGACTTAATGACAAATGTATTGTGACGTGAGAATGGAGGACTGAGTGGGCCACGATGAGAATGCCCAGTTCACCTTTCAATAAATACAGTGCATTGTTAATATTGCAGACAGAGGGGCCTTTATCTACTGAATCATAGATGACTCTCATAGAATTGTGTAAATACACACAGACAAGGACTTGTTTGATTGTGTTACAGTCATCATTATTGTACCTAAGCCCTCTCTAGGCGATTGGATGTGCTGTGTCTGCATCTGGATCGACTGTGATGGGTTTGATTTGGCTGTAAGGCTAAAAGAGGAGCTGGAAAGCACAAATGTCAGAAGTATTTCTGTCAGAGGCAGAAATTCTCCTCCAGCTCTACAGCATCCCTACCTCTAACATCACCAATGTTAATAAACAGTGTTCTTTTTACCATGTCTCTTTTCTTTTTTATCTCACTTTTTATTTGCTTTCGTTATTTGCCTCCCCTCTGTTGGCCTTCAACTCCTGTCCCTCTTCCCTTTCTATCGCCCCTTTCACTGCACACATCTCATGTCATCCTTTCCTCTCATCATGATACTATTTTCTCTCCTCTCTCCCTGCCCCCAGGCTCTCCTGCAGCCAGCGGCACAGGCACACTGCAGATCTATCTGATAGATATTAATGACAACCCCCCAGTGCTCATACCCAGGGAGTCTCAGATCTGTGAGAGGATGAACAAGAATGTCAACGGTGTCAACATCACTGCTGCTGATGCCGACACGGACCCCAACGCTGGACCCTTTGTCTTCGAGCTGCCCAACTTCCCCATCAGCATCAGACGCAACTGGACAATTTCTAGGATCAGCGGTGAGGAGGTCTCAGCGTAGATGTATACTACCAGGGAAAATTGAAAATGATGTTTTTTAATAAGCTCCTTATACCTTTCATGCCTACATATCAGTATCATATTTTGCAATTTCAGCCATGTTAGAATCCTTATGTTGAACCAATTCTCAAGATTTTACAGCTGCAGATAGAAAATGTGAGTTTTGGAACTATAAATGTGATGAATACTAACATAGTAACATTCTTTTCTCTTTCCTTTTCACTCTTTACACAGGCGACTACGCCCGTCTGGGTCTGCGGTACCAGATATATTTAGAGCCGGGAGTGTATGAGGTCCCTGTAATTGTGTCAGACTCAGGGAACCCTCCATTGTCCAATAGGTCACTCATCAAAGTGAAGGTGTGTCCCTGCGATGAAAACGGAGACTGCACCACTCTCGGGGCCGTGGCAGCCGCCGGCCTCGGAACTGGAGCCATCATCTCCATCCTGATCTGCATCATCATACTGCTCAGTGAGTATCAGCCGTACATATCGCATTCATCCAGTGACACTTCACTGCTCTCAGACATGTCACACACCCACACACATACATACGATGTGAAAAGTTACAGCTGCCTGTGATTGGCTTTGATTTGCCTCTCTGCCAAAAAAAAAGTGCAGTTCAGGGCGCAGGCATTAAACATTCACCAGGCTGTGATACAACAACATGAACAATAGTTTGTATAATGGATGAATGTCTCGACTGCTGGAATCCTCCCCAGCATCTCCCAACAAGAAGTTTTTGTCTTCTTTTCCTGGTAGGGTAAATATCTGCTGCTATCTGTCTTGCCAGTGATTCATGCTGCTGGCATTCTTTGTTGCTGTGAGTTGCATCATACATATAAATATAGACAAGTCCTATAGACAAATTCACCCACAGCTGTGAGATTTTTCCAACATATTCTAAAACGTAATACTGTATGTAAATGATCCATTCTTCTCATTATTAATACAACCACCAATTCAAGTTTTGGAAGAGACCCACATTTATAATTTATTTATCTTTATGTTTATTTTATCAAGTGGAGCCCACCAACTTTTGAAATCTCTTTTCAAAGATAGCACACAAACACAGATGATTTACATAAGCAACAACAAAGCTACAAAAAAATGTAATAATAATAATAAAAGTTGAATAATAAAATAATACTAACAAGAAAAGAAAGATGAGAGGAAGAGTTTGCACATCAGGATTCGTATTACTGTTTTCTGGTCAGGCACTCTTATGGTTATGGTTTAGGCGTAAAAACGACTTGGTCAAGGTTAGGAACAGACTGTGGTCATGGTTGAATGGACTGTTGGTTGGAAACGAATTATGAAAAGCAGTCTCTCAGTGTCGAAGTAACACGCTTTGTGGCCCCCACCATCCACCCAACCTGCTCCATGAGAGGTTTTGTGTTGGTATAATTGCGTCACGCTTACTGCCAACAGTGCACGGCCACAGGAGGTTAACGTAGTTTGTTGGTTCTTGACGGTCTTTTTACATCTAGAGCAAAAATCCACATCTTGTTAAATACATTTTCAGTTTGCTGGTGTGTTCATCATCATGGTTCAAGGTATAGAAATGTCTCAACAGCTGTTGGATGCTTTGCCATGAAATTTGATGCATACATTCATGCCCCTTTCAGGATGAACTGTCTAAATTTTGGTGATGCACTGACTTTTTAGTCTCTCGCTGTCATCAGGTCAAAATATATAATTGTCCAATACTTTGGTTTATGACCAAATAGCTAGAAAATTAATGATATTTTGTGTATTGTGCTAATTAGTTTGTGATCAAATTAAGATAGTTAATTAAGAACATGGTTAATTTTGCCTGCTTAACATTAGACTTGTCATTGTGAGCATATTAGCATACTAACTTTAGCATTTATCTCAGCTCCTAGTCTTGTTAATGTCAGGCATAAAGAATTTCCTGATTGTCTGTCATGTGTTTTTGATGCACGTTGTTGCAGCTTACTGTATAGGTTTATCATGTGTGTATCATTGCAGGCATGGTGCTCTTGTTTGTGGTGTGGATCAAGCGCAGAGAGAAGGAGAGGCAGACAAAGCAGCTGCTAATTGACCCTGAAGACGATGTCAGAGACAACATCCTCAAATACGATGAAGAGGGAGGAGGAGAAGAGGACCAGGTGAGATCCCGAGAGACATACACACACACACACACACACACACACACACACACACATACACACATGCTTTCTATGTTGACCTGTACCCTTCTTATATCGGTGTGTCCCTGTGGCTGTGTAGGACTATGACCTGAGCCAGCTGCAGCAGCCCGACTCCTTGGAGCATATCATCAGCAAGCCGCCTGGTGTCCGCCGGGTGGATGAGCGTCCCATCATCCCTGAATCCCAGTATCCAATTAGACCTGTCGTGCCCCATCCAGGAGACATCGGGGACTTCATCCACGAGGTGAATTCCCACGCACGCACACACACACCGGACACACACATTACATCTCCCATGCACAGGAGCTCAAGGGTCATCAGACAGTTTCTCCCACAGTGAGCTGGCCTCTCACTTTCACTTCCCTGTGATCTGACATTTAATGCGATTACTTATTTCTGGATGCTGTTCAATATGTAAACTCCAGTATGGCGATGGCAACAATCTTGAGTTTTGTTTAACTATACAGCTGCTCTCGCTGCGCCAGGTTTATTCACACACACACACACACACACACACACACACACACACACACACACACACACACAGTCACACACACACAATTCCAACATTGGCACACTGATGCTACAAAATGCTGATTGACAGACTTGTGACAACGCGTTCACACTCGAGAGGTGTTGGCAGCTGTTCAGCTTTGATCCATCCAGCCTTGACTCTCCCTCCCTCCCTCCTTCCCTCCCGCCTCTCTCTCTCCCCCCTCACTCACACATGTACTCACCTGATATCGCTCCAGCAGTCTGGTAAAACACAAACACAGCAAACACATGGTGTTCCTGCCATGCACTGCGTCCCCAGGGGTTGAGGCTTTTTAGGTTTCTAGCCGTAGCATTTCTCTGTATTTCAGTGAAGTGGATGAAGTCAAAATCCCTTCACCTGCCTAACCTTCAAGTCAAAGACATTCATTTGTCATTCTAAGAATCAAGTACAGGTTTGAGCATTGGCAGAAAACATACAGACCACTTCACATCTTATTTATGAAACAGTAACAAAATATTTATGAATAAAGTTTGATCGTTCATAAATCGCATTCAGAAACAAGAACCGGCCAAAGCAGCTCCTGATTTATGTATTCACATACATGAAACATGCCAATTTATGCAGGTACAGTGACTCTGGGCCTCTCAAAAGGAAAGTGTGGTACAGACTTGTTGCTTTTCCATCACTGATCATCAACCTGCCTTTTTTTTAAAATCATATTTACCACTGTCGGCATGTGAGCACTGACCACCACCTTTCCTCATCTTGATCCTGTTTAGGGTCTGCGAGCAGCAGACAACGACCCCACTGCTCCTCCTTATGACTCCCTGCTGGTGTTTGACTATGAGGGCAGTGGCTCCACCGCTGGCTCTGTCAGCTCGCTTAACTCCTCCAGCACGGGGGACCAGGACTATGACTACCTCAACGACTGGGGCCCACGCTTCAAGAAGCTGGCTGACATGTACGGAGGAGGGGATGATGATTAAATCTGCCCAGTCACACATGCACACACACACACGCACACACACACACCCTCGTCCCGTCAGCTGGCCTGCCATGCTCTGTCCCTATAACATATGGGGCTATTACACCCTTATTGAACACACGACTTGTTCACACTGACCAACTGACTGACCAACCAACCAATCAAATTACCCACCACAGAGGACCAGTCCCGTGAGTCAGTTTCGGGTGCTCTTCTCAACCTTCACCTGCTCTAAGCTTGTCTTAGACTGAAACGGAAGCTCTGAATTGCAGGCTTCTCATAGTTTGTATTTTCAAACTCTTGTGCTTTTGTTTCAGTTTAGGTTTTATGCTAGATGTAGGTTTTAGTAACTTTTGTCTGACTTTGTTTTTCCTTTAGTTTTTGCAGCTTTTTTTTTTTGTCCTCACTCCCCTTAGATTTGAGTCGATTCCTAAGGGTTTTCACTTTTCCCTCGCTGTCAGCCCCTGCCTGCCTCTCTGCAGAAGCTTTAGGTTGAGCTTCTTGCTTTGTCTGAGGGGAACAAAAGGAATAAAATGAAGAACACAGATATGAAAGTCCTTCTTTCTTGAACTTGAATTACTTAGAACAGAAGCACTGTTGTTTAAAAAGTGCCTTCAGTGGTGCGTATTTTAGCAGACTCCCGCTAACTCAGGATTGGTTGCCATTTTCTGGGCTTATGTGCCCTCATATGACCCCTGACCCTTTAACTCAGACCTTCCCTTGTCATTTCTGTGGTCCTGCAGGGCTGTGGTAGCTGCGGGAGATATCAGTGCTGGTTTAAGAGGAGCATTGACTGGCTTACGAGGGCGCTTTATGTAGACGTACTGTACATAGGCCTACAGTGTGTCTGTAAGTTATGGACAAATCATTAACTTTTCAAGTCAGGCATATCTGTGCTCCTAGATCACAGCCAACTTGAATGTGGTTACTGAAATCACAAAAATACATTATGGGACTGTCTTAGAGAAGAAATGCATTGCGTGTCTTTGTTTATTGTGGCTTCAATAGCAGCTGTGTTTGTTTTGAGCTCTGAGTATTTGCACCTAAATTCTGAAGATTGACAAGTCAAGTGTGTTACCTCTATAATGTTACTGTATATGAAGAACATATGAGGGTTATTTAAGGAGACTTTGCCTTTAAGATCATTTAAGGTTTGCATGTTTATCCCTACACCCAAAGGTTATTAACATGGCACCAGTTATTTGTGGTAAATGTGTCAAAGAAAACTATGTAAACTGTACAAACATGAGGGAAAAGAAAATACTAGATAACTTCAAATAGCTCTGATAGCGTTACATGCAGAGTTGTGAGCTTGTCTGAGCCACATTCCGAGTCCCGCTCTTTTTTTTCTTCTTTTTTTTTTGTGTGTGTTGTTGATTCACTGTTGTTTCTCGACAAACTTTTAATATACAAACTTTGGTGCTGGTCCCTGTCACAGAAACTGGGGGAATTGAGCCTCAGCCAGGGATTTAGCGCCTTCACAATCTGTCTCTCTTCAGGCAGCATTTCATTCATCTCAAATTTTCTCCTGAAATTTTTGGCTGCAAGTTCAAGAGGTTTTGAGAAGAAGTTAGAGGAAGGGAAAGTCTCTTATGAAGTTCTGCACTTTATCAAAGCAGACTTGCAAAACTAAAGCTTCAGTAATAGTGCTTTAAAAGACAGACACTTTGAAAGACAGTTGTGTTGTGACTTAATGAAAAGGCAGCACTACCCATGGGCTTTTGTAATCATATTTCAGCCCCCCAGAATTGCATATACATAGAGAACTGGGGGGGAAAAAAGGAGCTTTAGTCTTTGTATTAAATTATTTAAATATGCAAAACATTTCACAGAAGGACCGGGGAGATGCTGGTGTATGATAGAAAGGTTTAATCATTTCTTATCTTCCTAGTACCCATTGAAATGCTCCTTGGTGGTAGCCAGTTTCAACTTGATGTGGACTGACCAGATCTTTTATTAATTATGAATATGATAAATGCGTTGAGGAAATCTTCATAATGACAGTGTTATTCAGATAATGTGATGGCAAGGATTCTCCTCTCATATTCTTTTGTATCCTGCTGCTTTTCAACTGTTTCCCACCTGCTAACGGTTCATTTAAAGAATCGCTAGTTTTTCCAAATGGTCATAAAAATGGTCAAATGAGCCCACTGCGGGGAATGAGTATAATTTGGAGTGGATGGAAAAGAATTGAGAGATAAATGGAAAAGATTACCTGTTAATGCACATATTCATCATGCCATTAAAAAGAAATAAGGATGAGTGTGTAATTTGACTATAAACAAGGGACGGAAGGTCAAATTATGATTAATAAGGTCAACAGGGTAGGAATCTCTTGATTTAGATTCATAGATGAATGGGTTTAAATTGCACCTTGCATTACAGAAACTGACAACAGCGATTTTTCAGGACAGCTGTCAGCTGAGACAGTAGACATGAGAAAAGCAGTGGTTTCCACAGCCTGCTGCTGGATAAGCGCTTATCTATCCAATTGCTCGTCAGCATACAGAATATCTTCGCAAAATAAACACAGCTGTTACTTTCTGCTATTTGTGATTATTTCTGACTTATAAATGTTGTATATACAGATCATTTTTATACATTTGGTGAAATGATTTATCTGTTTCTGTGTGGTCTTTTCCATTTTCTTGCACTCTAGTTTTGTTTCAAATGAAAACTTGGCAAGGTATATCTCACCACAGAAAGCCATGTGCATTTAAGAGAATCAATATGATTCTAAATGGGCTTACAGCCATACTCGTGTCGCTGTTCAAGTAAATCATGGTGAAAAGGTCCCATTTCAAACCCACCTGTACAGTCTATACTAGCACACACTCACTCCTCTAGGCCTTACTGTATATATGTGAGTGTTCAATATTATATAAACCCTTTCAGCATTGTTCTGATACAGCTGCAGAGCTCCAACATTACTGAAGCCCATCCGTATCCATTCACAGGATAAAAACATGCTCATGTTGTCTTATCAGATGTTCAGACTGGCTTCAGGTCCAAACATTGCAGGAGCCCCCACTCACACACACACACACACACACACACACACACACACACACACACACACACACACACACACAAACACACACACATACATGACACATACATGACACAATGCCATTATGATACTGAATGTTATCAATGACTCGCAATGACACATGGCAGAAAATCATCAGTGGAGTTGGTCAAAGTTGACCCCCATTAAAATGCAATTTATGATGGGAAATGAAGGAAGATTGATCATTACTTGTTACATACTTGGTCCACTTGTCTTATTGATGTTCCCTTGCTAAAGTGAGGGGAGAATTGGCAAATGAGAATGATGGAAGAACCATCACACTGTTGTAGTCCATCCCTGTCTTCTGGCTGTGTCGGCTCTACTGCCTCTCTGACTGGTGTTAGTTAAAGGACGCTTGGTCTCACTCTGGACACTGCCTGACCATGGACACACACATGACGGGAAGCTCCAGCAGAAGCCAGACTTTTGTCTTGTTTTGGCCAGAAACATACAGACAGGCAGCAGTGTTTCATTCAAGTCCCCCCGATACTGCTCAAGTCCAAGTGTACATAGTGTAGTATTTGCTTGAAGCTAAACAGACTGAGTTAGGCAAACTGTAACTGTACAATTGGAGCTTTTTGCATGTGTCTTTTTATAATGGACAGATGAGTTCTATTACAGTAATCATACAACATTTTAAAATGTGTCGCAGCCCGCATGACCGAGGTTGCAGTCCAGAAGGGATTCTGGTGTACCATACTCACATAATTTCAAATGGAGGAGAAAAAAAAGTTGAAAAAATAATTGCACAGTTATTGAGTCAAAAGACTTCTTTTGTAAATTGTCAACAGCACAAATATTTTGTATTGTTGTTTGTACCATTTTGTAAGAAAATGAAGGGAAAAAAACAAACAAAAAAAAACGGAAAGAGTCTGTTGTTTCAAGCGTGTGTTTATAGTGCCACTGCAATCTTGGTTTCCAAATACCGTACAGTACATGCGCAGCCTTGCAGATCAACCTTGTAATATAGACGCTGAGCTGGAGACTCCCTGTCAGCACCATGTGTTATAAATAAAATTTCCCCTCCTTATAAGAACTCTGGCTCCTGTCTCTTTTTTGTCACCCGCTGATTTCTGCAAGTGATGCATTTCCTCACAACCGTGTTATTTTTAAAATGATAATGTGATTATTTTGCCCAGGAAATTGTTAAATTAACTGAAAAAAGTGTCTGTGTCAGTCAGGCAACTTTACACCATGTTCAATTTCAATTAAGTTTAAAATATTTACATGTATACATACATAATTTCTTTTGGTCAGGCAGCATCCATTGATTAAAGTTTTGATACATTGTAGCAAGGATATAAAAAATAATTTAAGAAAAGAGAAGTCTTGAAACATGTTGAGTGTGTCAGCGTTGTCTCTTCTGAATCGCACCCTAATCGTACCATGCACAGAGTATAATTTGATTGAGTCCTACAGTAAATAGAGCAATACCTGCCTTCAAAAAGAGAACACAAAAAGCACATTGTAACTGGATTATACTGTAAGAACACATCAGCTGAGAACCAGACTCATCTCAGGGGAAAAAGATTTAAAAAAAAAACTGCATGAGTTTCCAGTGAATGTGATCAATCACAGACACTTTATCAAGTTGGTAAATTACACAACAAAGTACTACTTACAGGCAAAAGAAGCACGCATATGCACTTAAATGGAGGCACACATGCTGTGTGCACTTGCATGCTGGCATTAACACAAAGGCCTTTATAGACAGATGCATGTGAATGTGGCAGTGTACTGACTAAGGAACACAGCTTGTCCCTTAAACATAAATGGTCTTGCATAAAGAGATACAATAATGTGTTCCAGGAAACATTTCCACAATGTTAGAATCAAAATTGCTGAGAATTTGAAATTATGATGTGCTTCTGTTTGCACGGGTTTAATATGGATGATTGAGTTTCATATTCCAAATTAGTTTTAGTGCCAGCCATGAACAAACATAAGCTAAAATGATCAACACAATTAAGGCTGTTCATTTGTCAACTGTGCCTGACAGGGTCGTCTTCCAAGGTGGGATAATGAATTCTTTGTAAGCTACAGCAAATGAAATTCAGTGCCAAAATAACTGAAATGAAAATAGAAATAGGTGCAATTCATTTCTTTCTTTCTTTCTTTCTTTCTTTCTTTCTTTCTTTCTTTCTTTCTTTCTTTCTTTCTTTTTACTTCAATGCTCATCATTGCTGCAAATGTCACCATAGAAATCTAAACTAGGTAATGTATTACACAACCTATAGAGAGGCACCTGGCAGTGAGTTTGCAGATTGCAGAA